CCAAGCTACAAGGGCTGGACTTGGGGGTTTTTGGGAATAGCATGAAATTTAGGCCACGTTAGAAGTGCAGGCCCACTCACAGCAGAGTCAACATGAGCCTTCCCAGCCATTCAAACTGAGACAATATCATGGTCCTGAAGTGCTTTGAAATTCATTGCATACTTTCCAAATTCTGTACTCTTGGTAGAAAAATGATTTTTAAGTGTATTATTTTGAAGAAAAAGAGTCAGCATTTAGCAACCGAGAAATATAAAAATAAAATACACGTCTAGAGTTAAAGCATATGGATGGTCTTCTAAGAGAAAACTCCTAGGAATTCCAGTTTATAAAACAGTAACATTCGCTACTTTATTTGAATTATTAAATTGATAGCAACTTTTGGTATGAATTTTTACATAGCTTTACTCATGACTGGTTTTTAATCTTAGATATTCTCACGTGAACTGCAGGAAGTAATTGTTACCAAGGTTATTACAGCTTTCTATGCAAAGGAAGTGTGACTTTTTTATTTCCTGGATTATTGAATTTTAATTGTTTTCTTTCTCAGCTACACATTGTTCACTTGTGATATGCTGGCTCTTGTATTACTTTGCTTGATTTTGGTGTGCAGTTAAAGAAACAAATTAAATATTTTTATCTACTACTAATGATCAAGAGAATATATTGTACTATCTTCTTGAAATGGTGAGTTAATGAAATCACACCAAATTAATTAGAAAGTCCTTACAAGAAATCAGGCTGTTAGAAGAAATGGTATAAAAAATATTTTCAGAGCACCTTTTCTTATCACAGTTTAAATAACAATAAATTCTGCTTTCAAATTAACCTGACAAACATTGTGATGTTGTAATAATTTCTTGTCCTTGTAAGGAAGAATCCACAGTCAGTTTTTCCCAGTTATTCTAAAAGGTGTTGTGACTGACACATACACTGGCAGAGCAGTAATAGCATCTCCTTGCAAATTCCACTTACAACAGGAGACAGCCCAATTAACAGTGAATTCAATAATTCAGGGAGAAGGTTACAGGGCGTTTTAAACAGTTGCTGTTATCACCATGGTTTCATTAAAGTGTGGCAGAAGTGTTAAACAATTCTTGACTGTCAGCAGAAGGGGAGCAGACATTGCCTTGAGCAGACAGACTCTAAACTCAAAGGTGGAGTTTGTGCCTGAACTTTTGACTAAGGGGCTTTGTAAGGAAATCAAAGAGGTCCTGTTACTTGACCAACTGTTGACTCTGAGTGGACTTTGCCTCAGTTCAAAACTGGACTGAAATCAAGGTATTATGTCCACTCCAGCTTTGGAGCAGCATTCAGTCTCTTGCTCATCATGCTCTCAGCACACCTCTAATATTGTGATCTAGAGATAAAAGACCATTTCATTACCATAAAATACAAAATTGTAGTTTTCCTGCCTGCATGTAAATAACCATATATACTTATATATAAACATACACATGCATTGATATCTGCTTGTTTAGATCATTAATAAATTTCTGCTTAAGGGCTTTCCATAAATGACTAAAAGTCTCATAGAAAGAATGGGAACACACCCTAAGTGTGTAGCCCTAAGTGCTGCATTAAGCATGGTAAAAGCACACCCTTCCTTTCTCTTGCATTATTCTTTATTTAATATGGACCTTCCAAAATCCCCAGTGTGCTAAAGGTACTACTTTACTCATTGCTGTTGCCTATGGTCAGCATTCTGGAGTAACATCTTTAATTGATTAGCAGTTCAGATTTCTGAGAAGACTGATTTATCTGCATTTATCTGTCATGACTTGCAGTTTCATAATCTAATAAACCCAATATTATCTCCTTTCTAATAGTTTCAAGACAGCATTCTATTATTTGAGCTGAAACATATGAAGAAGAATTTCTCTCTTTTTAATTCATATCAGTGTATCAGCTTCACTAAAGCAGAATGAAACACGACATTTATAGAAGGGAGAGCTTTGTACAAATTATGCAGGAAGTCCAGACCATTTTAGGAAAAAGCAGCAGCTAGAAAAAGAACTGCCAGGCAACTGTACTTTGTAGAGAATAAATCTGGAACTTCCATCGAAGCAATTAGGACACTGCAGATTTAAATATAACAAACTCCTAAAAATACTTCATGGAATGATTTAACGTATGAAGGATATAAACATTCTTGTCAACAAGATGAAAAGGTTTTCACTGTGAATGAGACAATATTTAAGACTATAATTAGTACTCAAGCAGTGTATTTATCTTGGAAATGTGATGAGGATTTGCAAAAATTATGTGTTTGTTTTAACTGTAGTTATCTGCCATCTTGTTTTTCACGTTTGGAGTCTTTCCTCCACGCTGAGCTCTGGAAAAGCCTTCCAGAGTTAAGAGGAAGGGCATGATTTTGTTAGTTGTGAGAATTTAGCTGTGCTCATTATCCATGTTCCCCTGAGCACCAGCAGAATTCAGTGCTCCTGAATCCCCCTTCCAGCAGGAATTCCGGAACAAGGCCTGAGCAGGCTGGGGGAGAGAACATCCCTGCAGGTACAGGAACTGAACTAAGGATCCCAGATTCTCCTGCTTTTGAACTGTTCTCAATCAACAGCAGATTTCAAACTCTTTTATATCAAAGTCTTCCAGGCATAAATGTACTGTGATTTCCTAATGCTTTCCATTTTTTCTCACAAACATAAAAAGAAATGGATACTCTGTTTAAAAAAACCCCACATTGTTTATCCAGGATGAAAATACTGAGCAGTCCACATTTACTTGAGCAGCTTTGTGGATTAAAATTGTGCTGTAGATATTTTAAATATGTGAATATTTTTTATAAGACATGATTTAATAGTTCCACTATTATATATAATATAGCTCCACTATTTTTATTTAATTTTGGATATTTGGGAATTTCCTACATCCACCTGATTGATGCAGACATCCTTAGAGGAGAGCTTGCATCTGTGCAACTGAGATTTCTGCTACTTCAAAATATAATGAAACTTTTAAAGATACACATTAAAAGAGGAAACAAAAAACATTTAATTGAATTACTTTGAAAGACATTATTTTTTCAAATGTGTCTCTTGCTTTTGTACACTAAGTCAAATTTTTTTTTACACTGCATTCCTTGTTTAGTCTGAAGCATGGCAATTTGCCAATCTGAGCTTTTAGTGATAAATTCTGCTATACAAAGCAAAAGTTTTTATATGTGAGGCCACTTCCTTCTGCTATTTTATCATCTTCCTGGTTTTGTCTGTTTTCAATAAATGCTTTTGTATTTTCACATCTTTTATATGCTTGTATACACAGACACTTTCCTCTGTATTAAAACTGATAGTTGCGAGTTGGTAAGGATAAAAGAGACAGACCATTGACTTAAATTTCACTGCACTAATATATTATATGAACACTTTTATGTTGCAGTATTGAAAGATCTTAACATTGATATTGAAAGTATTTCCTGAATTTGGCAGTGGGGTGGAGAGGAAGGGGTTGATGTTTCCTAACAAGGCTTTAAAATGGAAATAATCTCTGGGTACAGGTCTACTTGAGTACTAGAGACTGACACATGAAGGCTGGGTTCTCACAGGGAACATGCCTTATTTTAAAGCATCTCAAATTTAAATGTATTCAAATCTAAAATATAAAAAGAAACGATGGTGGAGGCCAAACAGCTCTCCTTTATCTGTCCCAAGAGGTTGAAAATTTCTGCCTGACGAGAGAAAACTCAGCAGTAAAGAGAAGCCACAGAGACCCCTGAACACCCAGTGGAACCCGGAGAATCCTGAGGGAAAGGAGAACTGAACTAGGGGTGGTCAGGGGAGAAGAATGAGACTGGAGGGAAAAAGTTCAAGCTGCAATGCAGCAAACTGGAGAGAAGCTTTTGGACCTTCTGTCCCTGATGTCCCTGCCCATTTGAGCAGTCTGTCATGAATTCCTCTTTCCCACAAAAAACGTTACTAAGGATGTAAGCTACAAATCATCGTGTACTAAGCTTTTTATGAAGCCGTTTTGGTTGTTGTTCTGCAGACCTATTGTTCTTCTACAGTTATATTAATAGACTAAAAATAACAAGGGCAGTTCTACCAGACTTAAATTACAATTTTGTTTCTTAAAAATTATTATTTTACACTGCGCTGATTGAGATCACAGAAATTTTTTTCTGACCACAGAGGTGTAAGGTACAAATTCATACTTCATGTAACTGCACTGAGGTAAATGGAGTTACATAAGGAATTAATTTGTCCTGTCTCCTCCATTTCCTTGGAAAAATTCTTTGTTTTAGCGCTTGCCAAGTTTTAACTTTGACTCTCCCTTGCTTAACATCTTCTTGTACCTCGAGACAGTTTTTAAGACTATAAAGAGAAATACAGCAAGGGAAAGACAATTGAGGTGAAGGTCTGCTTTTTAAATTGGAAGTACACTTCAATTACAGTAAAAAACTGCCAAAACCTTTTTGTTTTAGTATAGAAGTATATGGGATTACTCTTACATCCATGAGGATATGAAAGGGATAAAACAGTGTATGTGTAACTATGAGAGGATTTAAGTGACTTTTTCTGCCTAAGACCCATGTGTTTATTTTCTAACTGCAGCAGTTCGGATAAATAGGGATCCTTCTTGGTTAAAAAAGGTAAGAATGTAAAATATCACACATCACTTTTTAACAAAGAATGACCTCCCCTTTCCCCTGGACTCAAAGGGTGTATTCAAAACTAACCTATGAGGGAAGCTGAATACTCTCAACTGCAATTTCATGATGCAATAAATTTAGTTTTTGGATGGTGACATGGCATGAAATCCTGTGTGCAAGTTCAACCCACCAATAAAAAATGATTTAGAAAACAAAACCCTCATGAAACAGGGAGTATAGAGTGTTTTTACTCATGATGGTTTTACGTCAGAGTTGGTCTTCCTGCTGCCAGTATAAAGCCAGGATAAAGCCTGGCCTAAACACTGTGACTTATATCTGGCTAATGCTGACAGGAATGCAATGACATGCTCGTATTTGATCGTGATCAATTTATTACCATTAGATGATCTGGTATTGCACAGATGAGACATTAACAGGCATTTCAGTCTGACTATAGGGACAGTTGGAGAAGGGATCAGAAAGGGAAATTGATGCAGAGTCTGTGGTTCAGAACAGCATCAGAATTATGCAGGAATATTGTCCCCATGGACAAAATAACCATCCAGCAGCCTCCCTTCCTTCTTTCCATACCATCTGTGTGTCACAGTCTACCAGTGCTGCAATTGTGCCAATGCAACTGTTTGTGGGACCAGAGTGTGAATTCAATCAGTGGAGTAATTCTGGTTAAAAATTATTAGATTAGACAGAACTTTAAAAATCTGGATTGAGTAATCTGATTTACAACGTGGCTTCACAAACAGCTGCACAAACAGCTCACAGGCCACTGAAAGTCCAAATCATTAGTTGCCAGTTCCTGCTCCTGCCTAAATTGATGGATCCATATTTATTAAGCCCAGCTTTGTGCTCTGCTGACTAGCCAGCAGGAAGATCTGAGCCAGCTCATGTGGAGATATGCAATTGCATTGCAGACGCTCACTGGTGACTCCACGGGAGCACCTGGTGTAACCCTTCCAACACTGCATGTTGTGAGGAGTACAGTTGTCACTTGGCTGGCCCTGTGTGCCAGGGGGTGCCAGCCCTGCAACACTGGGAGTTATTTAGGGCTTCTTCGGGCAGGGAGGAGGAAGGGACTGTGGGGCCCCCCCATACATCAACTGCTGCCACGTGCATGCAGCTCCTGTATAGTTTGCAGCCCAGCTGCAGCTCCCACTGTAAGATGAGTTAGGAATTTCAAATTCCCAGGCCTTGGTGAGACTAGAGAGTCCAAGATGGAGTGAGCCAGCAGAGGGAAATTCAGACTGTGGCTACTTCTCAGGGTGGGAACAGTCTGGCCTTAATCAGCAAACTCTCCTTTGAGAGTTGCTTTACATCAAGTTCTTTCATTTTCCTGAGATAGAAAAATGCTCTCAAGCTTCATGCAAAACTTCCACTCATGATCTGTTTCAGCCCACGCCCCTTGAATCCTAGTCCTCTTTTTCTGTTATTTTAGGCCCAGCTTTCATGCTAGAAAGCATCCTGTTTGTGTCTAGTACTGTGCATAATTAATACAGGCAGAACAAGTTCTAATGCAAAGTACATTTCAGATCATAAGCATTATAGAGTTGATGGACCTTCACAATTTTTAATACATTTTCCTCACTGGGATGTTTGGTGGTTTTTCCTCAATGACTCACTAGTGGCCCTATCAGTGTTACACAATAGAAACAAACACTGACTCCCAAACCCAGTAATATTCGATGCTGGGAGTAGATAAAGCTCATTTAGAAATCTTAAAAAAAATACCAAAAACTCACAAACCCTCAAATGTGTCAAGAACAGGAATTTAGGATAAGCTGCAAATAAAATTCAGAATATGATTAAAAAGTTCATCAGGAGAGAAACCCATGCAAAATTCTTGGAAGTGAGGTGTCTTTATGTTTAGGGTTCTGGACTATTCTAATGGAACAAGCTTCCTATCCATACAAGAAAGCACCATTCATAAAAGAGGCTTGACTTGCTAAGCTTCAGCTTTGATGTTCCCCAAAGCCATATAAAATACCTGCATGTAAATTTTTTTTGGACCAAATGAAAGGCACAAGCACTTTTGAAACCCTTGAGACAACCAGCAAACAGGATTTTCTGTAAAAATGTTTTTCCAGCTGAGACAAATATGAGATGTGTGACAGCATAAACATTTTAAGAAACAATCCATGGCTAAAACCCATCTGCCAGACAGAGGAAGTCAAAGAGTTTGCCTTAGGGGTTTAAGAATACCAGATTATTCAAGTACTGATGAATAAAAAAAAAAATAGGGGAAAAAAAAGAGATGATGATGGGCTGAGACTTTCCTGCATGGAAACTATTAGGCAATGCTTCTTAAAAAATAAAAACTCTTTGGTTGTCTAGATTTGAAACAAAAGTATTCTTTAATACAATGGCTGGGTATTGATGACAGTGATTCTATCAACAAGGTATTATCTCAGGAATGTAATGCTTGCACCATTTTTCTAAAAATGTGAGAGCATCTCAGTGAGCAAGTTGTAAAACAAGCCAAAGAATTCTAGATTACAAAACATTGCACAACAGCTGTATTCTTTAAGATGTATCTATATTCTTTGAGATATATCTATATCCTTTAAGATAGATCTATATTCTTCAAGAATGTATTACTAAGACTGCACAAATGTTCATATTTTTATTAACTGTTCTTCTTAAGGGCAGCTATAAAATCCTTCTCACCAAGTCTAAGACAAGTCACAATAAGCCAGACTTGCAAATTAGTGCTGTCTTGCCTGAACACATGGAATGGGAATACCTGCAGGCAGGATGACCACCTCCCTAAGAACGATTTCCAAGATTCTTCCTTCCAACAGTAAGGACGTGATTCCACCTCCAGCCTGCTGACACAACAACAGTTACTTTATTTCTTTCTGCATTAAGAAAATTCAGAATTGTATTTCTTGTATTTGAATACAATGCTACTATCCAGGTATGAGCACCCTCATAGCTCATGATTTTGATTAGAAATAAAAAGCTTATGAAATCTATCACAGTAAGATGGAATTTTGTATCATTGAAACATTTACATTACTGAAAGAGGAAATTTGCCACAGTAACATTAAGCTTATTTCTTTCTACAAGTAAACTGAAGGTGAAGAATGAAGATTTTTTTTCAGAATTTACATTAACCAATAAAAAGCAATGGAGAAAAAAGGGAATCCACTGTTGCTGAGGAGAGAACATAATAAGCAACAGAGCTTTCCTACTCTTGAATTGATTATGGGGGGAAAAAAAGAGAAAAAAAAAGAGTGGATAAAGATTTATATTTTCATTCACTACTCTTGGAGTCTGGTTCAAATTGAAATCCATACAAACGGCTTAATATTTAATGAGCCTTATAGACCACAAAAATGTGATGTAAGGGCTTCAGTTGTCTTCACTGACTCTCTGCATAGGGACAAATGTCACAACAGATGTGCTCCTGAACCCTTAAAATGAAAAATGACAAGATAAATTACCACTTAGTGGAAACTAAATCAAAACAGTTACTAAACTATCCAGAGAGGGACCAAAAAATATAAAAAGACAAAGTGTATCACCTGCAAATTCAGCAAGTAACCACATTTATCATTGAGGACTCAACCCTGCCAACAGTAGTTTTTGGAGAAAGCCCAATTTCCCCCTAAAAATAATTTCAACAGACCAGCTATTAGACTATTATTTACATGAATGACAGACTGTGAAGTTCTTCCAACACAGAAGGTTAGACTTGTGGATATAAAACTGGCAAAACATACTGGTGGTAAAAATAGAGCTATGACTACAGAAGGGACTGCAAGAAAGAAAAAAAAAAAGATCAAGCAATCTTTAGAAAACTGTTGATTGAAACTCTTATTAATTATGGGGAAAAAATTAAAATCAATATGTGTTCCAAAACAGAAGAATGATCAAAGTTCCAGAAAACAAAGCAGATGCGAGAGAATTACTCACATGAGAAGGAAATAGTTTATTGGAGTTTGTCTTAAAATTTGCTGAGATTGTAACCTGTACTGCTTCCTGGCATCTTTGCTGGTAAGAAACCACCTCTTATTTAAGGAGAGTGGTGTCATAACTGTTGAATTACCAAACACTAGGGAGGAGGAGTTCCGCTATGGTAGAACTGCTACAGCTATGACGTAGAACTGGGGCTGTAATTACTTGATTTTGCACAGTTTCAAAAAATCTATTCCTGACCTAGTTAAGTTTATAGCCAGACATGAGTTTTACTTTAAACACAGGAAAATGAGGCAACAAGGTAAGAGGTTTGATCTTAAAAGTTTCTATGACATCTCACCTGAAGATTGAACAGCTTTGTCCAGGAAGCACCTTGTACACAGAACTAAGAGTTTTACACTTAGAACACTTGGAGGATCAGGCCCATGCAAAAGTAAGTCTATTTATAAGATACACAATCTGAATGAAAATGTTTTGAGGAATATCTGCCATCATTTCAGAGACATACAGCCTTGAAGAGAACATTATAATTTCAACACTCTTTTGTACTATGTATCATTAATATGTCATCCCAACTAAAACAGGGCTGGAAAGAACGGATTCTCCTTGAGAGGATATTGAATGACATATATTTCAGAGTTACAACAGAGTAAGTACATATTCAGTAAGGCAAAATACTGAAAATTTAACTGTTTGTTCAAGTTAATAAGGAAGTTATAATAAAGAACATTTTCCTTATCTCATGGGTTTGGAATCGGCAGACATGATCTGGAATTGGATTTCACCATGAAGTTTCTATAAAACATCACAACTGATCACTCATAACCAGGACAGACATTTTTCCTATCTTGCTTCCATCACAAAATAATTTTAATCTTTGCTATGAATTTGGAGAATTTTAAAACTAGTATTGCTTCCATGAAGTCAACAGGAATTTTGCACTGAATGGGGTGGGAGGATGACTGTTTTCCACACCTCCCTCTCTTCTGCTACTAGAATTAGTGATGAAGCTATTTTTTATTTTGCATTAGAATTTTCCTTGTAGCAAAAGTATAAGGAGGGAGGGAGGGAAGAAGGGAAGGAGGAAAGAAGGAAGGAAGGAAAAAATGACACTGACAAACAGAAACAAGAAAATAAAGGAATATATTCTATATAAAGGTGTAAACCAACACAAATTAAATGCAAGCAATCTGTGATCAATTATAAAATTATAATTTTTTTCATGAACCAGATTCCCCACTAATGTAAATTAACAATTTGCTCAGCGTACAAAAATATTCAAAGCCAGTCAGTTCATCTGCATTCACACTTATTTTACATCATCCTGTAGTTGCAGACACAGGATGCAACTACATTTAATAATAAATCTCTTACCAAGGTGATGCTGGTTTTATGTAATCATATCCTTTTTATAACTTACTAAACTTACAACGATATTTAATTTAAAATAGGAAAGTCAGAGGAGTATTTTAAAGGTTCGTGATGCTTACGATTTTTAGGTGAGGTAAAACCACTTTGTCACTGGAGCAGCTGTCAGAGCCAGACCTCCGCTCTCAGCACAATGGGCTGTAATAACCACCTATTAGCAGTGGTGTCAAGAGGTGAGTGTTCCTGACACGGCTTCCTCGACGGTGCTCTGTCCCATGCCAGCCTCCAAAAGGAAAATGAAAAACCCGATATTTTCCTGTTGGCTGACCCTTTCCTCCCACAGCTTCCTTTCTGAATAAAATTTTGACACGAACGGTTTAAAAAAAAATAATAAGAGGCGGTGCTAAGGAAGGAAGGAAGGAAGGAAGGAAGGAAGAGTGTCTGTGCCAGTACACTTTTGCTTACCTTTACAGACTTTGGAGGCTGCTGATATCCTGACTCCCATAGTAGGTAACTCACTGAAGATCTTTACTGAAGACTTTAAATATCCCACAGACACTTTGGCTCCTAGGGCAGTAAGGAGAGTCCTTTCTGTTATCTACAATGCTCACCAAGGCAAACCCCTGCACCGCATGTGGGGCACAGTCCCACTGACATGCAAGGCTCTCCGTGGCCCCTGTGGCAGGGGAAGCACCCAAGGTCCCTCCAGGACCAGACCCAAGAACAGGGAACAAGCAACAGTCAGCAAAAAAAGCCCAGAAACATGAGAGGTGTGAAGCTCTTTTTCAGAGACTTCAAACCACCTTGTCTCCCCTCACTATGCTGTTTCAGGCCAACTCAGCCCTCACCTTCCACTCACCTCCCTCTCTCCCCCAAAAAGCCAGGTGGGTGTCTGCACGCATTTTCTGGCTCCCGCAGACCCCAAAACATGACCCCAACGGGCACGACCCCAACAGGTCCTCAACGGTAGCCCCCGGGTCCCCCCGCTCCCGACCGCCCGGGCGACCCCCAACAGCCCGCGGGGAAGCCGCTTCAGGGGCCTGGGCGCTGCCAGGCCGCGCTGCGGGGCTCGCCGGGGAGGGAACACCGCACAGGGAGGCGGGCGGGAGGCTGGGCCGGGGCGCTGGGGGGGGTAACACAGCTCGGCGGTGGCCGCGACCCTGCGGTGGCGCGGAGGAGGCGGCGGCGGGGCTGGGCCGGGCCGGCTCCCCCTCCGCCCTCCGCCGTCACATGAGAGGGGCGGGCGGCTGGGCCGAGGCGGCGGCGGCTGCCGGGACCGAGGCAGGGCTGGGCGGGGAGGGACGGGGCAGAGCAGCGCGGCGGCGGAGCGCGGCGGAGGAGAAGGAGAAGGAGGAGAAAAAGAAAGCGAAGGAGAAAGAGGAAGAGAAAGAGGAGGAGGAAGAGGAGCGGGAGTGGCCGCGAGGCGCCGAGCGAGCGGAGCGATCCCCGGGCCTCGCTGATCGGCGGCGGAGCGCCCTGCCCGCGGTCCCAACATGGACGAAGAGGGCGGCGGAGGCGGCGGCGGTGAGTGCGGGGCTCTTGCGGGCGGTTCGCGGCCCCTCGCCGGGCGGCACAGGAAGGTGCCCCGCTCACGGAGCCCCTGACAGCGGCTGTGGCCGCGGCCCCTCCCGCCGGGGCTGCCCCGTCCTGCCCGGCGCCCCCCGAGCGGAGCCGCTACATCGGCCGGGCCACAATGGGGGCTCTGTGCCCCGCACCCGGCGGGGGCGCGGCGGGTCCGGGACCCGCTGCCCTGCCCTGCCCTGCCCTGCCCTGCCCTGCCGCCCCCGGCAGTGCCCTGACAGCCCCGCGCCCTTTGCCTGCAGCTGCCCGTCCGCTGGGAGAGGGCAAGGGGGGAAATACGAAAAACCAAAAGTACGTGTCTGGCAGTGTACGAGCAGCGAAAAGAGTAATTAAGCCCTGCGAGGGCTCTGTTTGTGTGTGTCATCTTAATGGAGGCTCGGTGATAATCACGGGGTGGTTCAGCCAGTTTAAACGAGGTGAACTGTTTCCAGCGGCAGCGGCGTTAACCTTGCCAAGATACTACTTTTAGAAAATCCGGACTCTCATGTTGGGGAAGCTTTTATTTGTAATTTTTATCTTATTGGAGACCGCCTTGCGCGCTGTCCCAGTTTAAGGCGCTGCAGACGTGCCACACGCTTCCCTCCTTTAATTTATAATGGGTTCTGTGAGTGCGTGTGTAAAGCTGCTGCCTGAAATAACCAGTTCTTGTGTATCATCAGCGATAATGGTGGCTGAGCAGGAGCTGATCCTGCCCTGGGGCAGAGGGATCGACTGCATGGCCTGCCCTATATTCACTGTGTCTGTGGCTGTCTGTGCAGTGGTGGTACAGCATGAAGTGATGAGGGTATATCTTAAATAAAATGCTAAACAGGCTGCCTTTGAATGCATTGGCTGATCTCTAAATAGCTAAAGTAAGGGCTAAACCTCGTGTGATTATTAGTTGCACGGTACTTGCTAATTCCAAATATAATTACCCAGAACTCGGAAATCAAGTGGGTGTGGTGTTTGTTTTGACAACTTGAAGAAATAATGCTATGGTGAATCAGAAAAATAATTCTTCAAGCCGTCGTTTGGAAGTGTGGCCATTTCTCAGCAGGCATTTCTGCTTGTTTTGTCAGTGGTAGATTTAAATCTTGAAAAGAAATCTGAAAAAGGAAAACAGAAGACAAAACAAGCCAGTCCTGAAAAGTTATTGTTCAAAGCACTTGAACACTGTAATTGTAAAGAACAGAAAGCTCCTTTAACTCAAAATATGTTATTTTCTCAGGATTATGGACTTGCATCTGTAGTTAAGGAAAATGAAAATGCTTGTTACTGGCACTAACCCTATGTGATACAGTACTTAATCACGTGCAAGATGTAAATTAGAAAGTGGACACATTGCTGAATCAATCTTTCATAAGGCGTTAAGCTTTGTAGAGTTGGATTTTCAGAGGAGGAAAAATACTCAGGACCTCGAGAGGAGTCGGTCTGTATTTAGCTGAAGGCTGGTTCTAGAGGTGAAGTCAGATTTGTACCTAGCATGCAAGTGAAACTATTATTTATAACTTCATACCACTTTAATAAACATGTTGCTTTTTTGGGTCAAATTACAGTATAGTTTATGTTCACGCTTACTTGGCTTCGCTGTAAAACAGTTGCAGATTAGTAAGACTGGACATTTTTTTTGCGATTGGTGTATTTGACGTTTTAGACTGACTTCTTGTGAGTATTGTGCTTTTTTTTAAATAGAGATCCAGTCTCGCTTTTCCTTATGGATTGCTGTCAGTTTGGAACATCAGGATCAGTTAGGTCATTTCCAGCTAATGCATTAATATTTTGAATTGCAAGTTGTTCTGTTTGGTTTTTTTTTTTCCCTTTTTTTTTCCTTTCTTTAATAATAGCGTCGGAAAGTGTGGATTTGACAGCCAGTTTTATAACCCTTTATTACTGCTGGGTAGTGAGGCTTGTGATACCTCAGCAATGAGACTCCCTTGGGAGTCTGACCAGGGCAATCCAGTGTTTTGAACCTCAGCAGAACATTCTGAATCCTCACAAAATTAACATTGTTGAGTGGGAAACGCTTAGAGATAAGCATATTGCTGTGTACAGGTACTTTAGGAAGTATGTAAAATTATTTGAGGACTGCACAGAGTCACCCTAATTAGAGACTCGAACTAGATAAGCATGTAAATATCTAGGACATTAAACTGTGATTCAGGAGGTAAGCTGCTATTCCCAGTTCAGCTCTGCCTGTTGCCCTGCTCTTCAGTTTAATTTGCATCTGATGCTTCAGTTCCCTTATTTGTCAAATGGGGTCAGTTGTTTTACCACCTCTGATAAAAGCTGTGAGTGAAAACAGAGCTGTGTAACGTTAGAATTTATTATTTTAGAAGCACTTGATGGAACAGAAATGTTAATTAAGGGAATTGTTCACAACTCCTCTTTCTCTTTTGTATGTGGAGCCCTAAACAGGGCTGTGTATTTATATTATACAATCCACTTATGCACAAGCCTCCCATTGATTCCAGCAGAGGCTCTGTGCATGGATTATTGATGTGATATGATCCGAGTCAGTTGGTGTTTGGCTCAACTTTCTTTTGTGTTCTGATTAAAATATCTCTGTGGTTCACTTAATCCAGGAAATTTCTCCTCCTCCCCCTCCTCACTTGCTTTAAAACCACATCTTGTGTGATTTGACCGAAGCTTTTCTTGCGGGCTCACAGTGAGGTGGTGGTGGTACCAGTGACCCGCCATCCTCGCGTTCAATGGTGCTGTTGGCAGCCTGTGGAAGGTCAAAATGTATAAACAGTGCTGGAGGCCCAGGATAGTACTTCTGTTTGTTTTCTGAATTTGATTCTAGTCATGCAGCAGCTTTCTTGTCCCCCAAATTCAATCCTGTGCCGTTCCTCTTGGAAAAGACTGCGGGATTGGGTACTTACCAACTTCTGTATGTTTGTTTTAAACTGCCTCTACAAAGGGCTCAAACAGACATGCCAGAAGGTTAAAATCCTGCTTCTACTTGACAAATAGACCAAATTACAGCACTAATTAGGGCATTGAGGTTTCCCTATGTTCCCCAAACTCTGTGCTTTGTTTCTGAATGTCGAAGCTTTTCTGGGACAGAGCGGTTCAGTTGCCAAGCTCTGTTGGTTGCTGGCTGTTCCTGCCAGTGCTGGTGCCAGGTAACACGTTGGGTCTGTTGTGTGGACAGAATGTAGACACCCGTTCACGAGACAGAGAGACCAGATCGTCTCACAGAGGACTCAGGAGAGCGGGTTTGCTGCCAAACCAGATTTAGCAGGGTCACTTCTGTTCTGCTGCAGGGCAAAGATTACCTATTTATAGGTAAAAGTTGTTAAATGTAACAAACACCCCAGATTTTTCTTAGAAAAAATGTCTTTAAATTGAATACATATATATATTTATACTTTAGACATGAACAGCCTCATCTTTTCACATTGTAATATCTTCCAAAGGTAGACATTAAAGATAGCAGAGGCCACGTGGCCTCCTCATGGTTATAGACATTTGCTTTGCATTTAAGACTAATTCTCCATGTTTTCTTCTTTTATGAGTTTTTTTTATTATAAACAAATGTGTTTTAACACAGAAGAACGTTAAATATGTTTCAATCCCTACCCATCAAAGTGGATAACTTGTACCAGTAGTTTTAAATAAAAGTTGTCCCAAAAGTCCTTTAGAGGAGGGCTTGTTGTTTTAAATAGCACTGTAGGGAATGCCAAGAATATAAAAATGCACCTGAGTGTTAAAGTAACCACTTGGCTTGGTTCTAGGGAAAGAAAAAGAGCAGATACAGAGATGGAACACAAAAAACTAAATGACATAAGTAGACTTTTACCAGCTAGCAGAGCTTCATGCTAAGTCTCTTTTTGCTAAATAAATATTTCTTCATGCTAAACTAGTGTCATATTTGTATGGCTTCCCTGTCAGGTCAGTAGGCTCCTAATTTTGAGCCCCAAACCATTTAATCTGTTACCACTGCAGTAAAAAGTGTCATAATAAAATATTAATAATTATACCGTAAATATTAGTTATTTTTGGTGGTATCAGAAAATGGGCTTGTTAATTGCAGTAACACATTAAGTTTTTCTCAGCCTAATGTTCGATATATTTAGCTCTGACTTGGAAGAAAACATGAAATTTTTGCAGATAGAATTTCCAGAAGTCTTTGGTTGCCAAACTCGATGGATTGTTATCTAATGGTATTTGGTAACGTGCTCAGCAGTGTAAGCACGCCGTGGATTTAGGGGAGCAGTGTGCCCGTAACAGCATCTGTCTGCACTGGTACAGCTGGGAAAGAAAGCTGTAGGATTTACTTACAGGAACAGAGTGTATTTTGCAGAACAATGTCTGGGAGTTGTAGTAATAGCCTCGTGAAAGTGGGTTCCCCATGGGCCACTGTTACCAAATGGGTATTGCAATCTTTTAATATCACTGGAGCTGTAAGAGCTTTCACCAGTGGAAGGGCTGCAGAAGGTGAGGCAACATACTGTTTTTCAAGATATAATCTACAGCTCACATGAAATTTCTC